ATTACAGTCTTCCTCTCGACCGTACATTTTATTCCCACCAACTCAAGAAGTTCCTATACAGTGTTCAAAATTGCATGAAACACCTTACACCAGCTGTTTTTTTGGTGATATTCTAAAATGTTGAAAACAGTAATAATTTAAAGATTTTATATTTTTTTCAAACAGAAGCTAGATTTAGGGGGAGGGGCGGTGGGTAACTTTTGAAACTTAAATGGTAATGTATACATTAATTATTTTTTAAACAATTTGCTGAAAATGTTCACTGGTCGATAACTAGTTTTTGATAAATAATTTTAAAGTTATTAGACTTTAAAAGTAATTTTTTTTTTTTAATAGCCTTTATGAATAATTAACCAATACTGGTTATCGACTATTCGACCTTTTCTGCAATTTATTCCTAATTTAAAGTATTACATAAATGCAAACATCAATAGTTTCAAAAGTTTCCTTACCTACCCTCCTTAATCTGAGCTTCTGAGTTCTGACTGGACAAAAATAACACAAACAATTTATATTATTATTGTTCGATAAAAATTTAAAAAATGTACTTAATAAATTACAACATTTTAGTGTATCATCAAAAAAACAGCTGGTGTTACATACAGTTCTGAACACTCTGTATGTTGAAAATCGGATGTCGTTCAGTCATTAGTTATTTCATTACCTACGACCTACGTCATAGTGCTTTTCAATGGGTAAACGCTATACTTGACGTAGATTGCTACTGTCAAGCCAACAACTCCATCGATTAGGTTAAAAATAAATAGAACGATTAGACGACATCCAGACCGGTGTAGTAAGCCCGGAAAGGGGTTTTACATACATAGGAAATAGATAAGCCTAAATAGTAATATGTAAATTAGTAAATTGTAACAAAAAACATAAACTAGGTTTAGAACAAGAGAAACTAGTATTAACAACAAAGAACAAAGTTGTTAATTACTCAGATTGCAAAATACCTAGTCAAGGGAGTAATATGAGACCTGAAAGGTGTACGTCATAGTGACGTACATGATAAGTACATAAATATATAATATATAATATATAATAATATAATAATATAATAAGTAAGCGTGTGCTTACTACACCGGCGGTGTTATTCCCCATCGATTTAAAAATATTGTTTTGTGAAAACAATGTACCACTACTGTATTCTGTTTTGAAGGCCTTATTATGCGAGTTAATGTTATGTATTTTAACTAAACAAAAAACCCAACGACTCCGGTACGTGTCGTTTGGATAGGACATTATATTTTTGCAAAACTCGCACAACCTTTTTGAATTCTGAGTGTACATAACGGCATCATTTGTATTCGACGAATGCGACTATAACTGTGTACACTATAATATAATATTGTGTGAGTGTGTGTGTGCAAACAGAAAATAGGACACAGAAACGAACGGAATACGTTATGCCACGATTTCGTTGCGCTAGTACAGCGTTATTATTATTATATTAATAATAATTAATAAATAAATATCGTATTCAAAGGGCGTAGCTTTGCGGATTTCTAACTAGAATGATTGATCTAAATATCATGACTCCTAAGTCTTAACCTAAGTTGCAAAAACACCAACTGTACCGTGCGGTGGCGCATTAAACTGTCTAAGAGACTATGTTTTTTTATTATTTTCGCTACAGCACGCATAAGCGCAATTATCCCTAATTAGCTTCCCCCCTCCCCTCTGAAAACCCCAAGGTTTTTTTGCATAAGGTTTAAGCCCTTGGTGAAGGTAAAGTAGACAAATAAATATCGTGTTAGCCTTTCCAAACTCCATATTCTAATAGCGCTAATGACTGCACAAGGCGTAGAATGAAAGGAGTTAAAATAAGCGGACTTATCAACATATAATTATATATACCCGTTATTAACACTGGCTGTGGAAAATAAAAAAAATATTCCCAAATAGTACAAAATATCCCTTTTTTTTTTTGAAGACTGTTAAATATAGTTTTAACTATTTGATATATGTATAAATGATAAGTTGTAAATAAATACGTATAATATAATGATCGAAGACATTTTACTTTTATACAAATAGTATACTTAAATATACACATTGTCATATATGAAAAATTAATTTGGTGAACTGGTCAAATAAAATGATATAACTGAGTCTACAACTTGGTTCTAACTGTTCTAACTTCTTTATTAGCTTCAGGAAATACACATTGATATCAGTTCTGCAATGTTGCCTTAGTATGCGATTTTTATGTGTTTTAAACATAATTTGAAAACATGGTTTGACGCATGGGATGAGATACGATGCATTCAATTAAAAACGGCGTGGCCAATCAAAAAGATACGAAAATCATGCAAGTTAATGCACGTCACACGAGTGGATGTAAAACGTCAACGTGACATTAGTCCTTGCACGACACAGAATGGAAACGTTTTAAGTGAAAGGACACTGCAGAAACAATAGCTTGATGTCGACCCAAACCATGTTGTGTAGTGTTTAGTTGATTTTCCAAGTCAATTGAATACATTTTAATTAAACTTTAACTTGACAACTTATTTCTTTTTTTGTTTTGCCTTACCTAGGCCGTATTGTTAAAAAATCATTAGACTTCTCTGCTTTGGACTCATCACAATGATGGTATTTTTTCTGTGTGTACATTGTTTTCAACCGCTGGGATTTATTTCTAATTAGATCTCGCTGTTATATCTTATTATTTGAGAGACAGTCTAAAGTTCTATTCCGGAGTAAGCTGTTCGACAACGCTTAAACAATTGTTCGCAATTTATTTTGTTTTCCTAAAAAAAACCATTGAAAAAAATATTATTTAAAAGCAACTTTGTGACTAAAACCTTGAAATCGGCTGTACAAATGACAAAGTGTTTTTTTTTTTGTAATAAAAAGTGATTGTTTACAAACGTTGTTCAGCATTGAAGCGTGTTCTATAGGAACGACTAGATCTATTAAATTTAATACTTATTTTATACCGAGGATCCTCCCTAAAACCGATTTGACAATAATTATCGCTTAATTGTCCATTTTTTTTATTTTTCTGTTGGTGATCTTACACAATGTTACCGACTGTAATAAATCTCAAGTGTAGTAAAAACTGCGACAATGTTCAATAATGCATTTTTCATAGACCTAAGTACGCGAGTGTGTATGGGTTATGATGAAACCATAATATGGGTTTATGCGCCTTATGAATTTATGATGTATTCTCTTAATGGAAATATGCCTAGAATAAATTACAGATACCCACGGTACAGATATTCAGCGTGACCATTAATAATTATTTTTATTTGTGCATAATAGACACATTCAAAATGAACATAATATGTCCTTAGAGGTTTTCGCATTATATTGTATTAAGACATCTCCACACGGTCTTTTGACAGTAAAGAGTATACATTTAGAGGATAACTTTCTCTATAGGAGAAAAACCAAACGCCATAGCAAAAAACTAAGGGACAATAAGCTTTAAGAAATCAAACACAACTTGACGAGCATCCTTGGATAACCCATAAGCATTTTATGGCAATATTAACCAACTTACCGAGCCACAAGAAGTTTGATTTCAAACCTTTCCTGGCCGAATGCGGAAATTATTTAGACATCCGCAATGAGCTCAATATTTCATTAATTGTTAGATAATTAATATGTTCCTACAATCAAACAAAACTAGGGTTTGCATATTATTTCAATGCGACATTTACTTTGCAAAATAATGATATTTTGGAAAGAGAAATATTTAAATTTTTTTATAGGGGTAGGACTTTCAATTTTTAGATAGATAGATGCTACAATTCCAAACGTTTTGTATAGTTTTATTTGTAATAACTAGTCCAAATATTTTGAAATGACTAGAATCTAGATTTGCAATTTTGTAGATCGCAATTTTTTTTTACTACTTTGGCTTGATGTGAATGATTAATACTTTTCTGGTTTAATGGTATCAACCAACTCGCGTCGGAACGTTTAACAGTGGTTTAATTACCACCTTGACCCTAGTTTACTAACTGTATATGCTGTGTTGACATGTTATCTTATTCTAGTTTTTTATAGGTCAATCGTCGTATGTAAGCAACATTCAACAAAATTTTATAAAAATCTTAATTTTTTAGGTTTTTTTTTCTAAGTCTAGAACTGAAAATTCTCGCCATTGATTCATCTCAATTTATGATACAACGTGTTAATTGGTGTTATTTTTTGGAATTCCTGAGTATTCATACTTTGAGTAAAATTATTAAAGGAGATTTTTCGATATCTTACTTTCCAAGTCAATTTAAAAGATAACTCAAAATAGCGATAGTATGTTATTTATTTACTCCAAAAAGATTGAAATAAATTAGTAGTAGGTCATAATAGGTTTGTTTATTTATAATTGACTTATTTAGTCAAGAATTTAGTTAAATTACACATATATTATGATATAATTCTAAATAGAGATTATATGTAAGCTCAATACAAGTTATGTAAACTTTGCATTGCAAATAAATCATTAAAATTAATTAGTTTGTTAAAATAAAAATGAATACGACTTGTTTCTTTTTAATTTCATAAAAAATCAGTATAGCAATTTTAAAATGAAAGGTTTTCTGGTATGTATAACTGGAATGTAAACTTTGTTTTTCTCTGTATAACATAAAAATCCTCCTTGCTAAGTTTAGGCGTAATTTGAGTATACTATATATTATAACGCAATAAAGAAATTGCTTACATATTTTTCTCTAATGGACTATTGAACCGTCTGTACTAATTTTTTCAACGTTGATCAGACACACGCCTATGCTAGAACCCTAGGGATGCCCCCCCCCTCCCTTATCTGCAGTCCAAGTCTTAAGGTCGAGTTCGGATTTCGAGACGAGACAAATGTGTGTTGTGTATGATGTGTCATAATCGGATTACACTACTATGTGTAATAGCAATAGGTGTATTATATTATGAATTCAATGTGGAAGAACATTATACCGTCCCGGTATAGTGTTATTTGTGGTGGAAGATACTCAATGTCACCAAGAGCGGCGCACATGCGGTTCGGTGGCGTTCGCACGTTTTCAGTCAGTAGTGCCTTCCTCGGTCTCCGGTGTCCGTAACAAGATAAAAAATGTAAAAAAGTCGTCAATGTTTATTTTATTTTTGCACTCTTGTTTTTTTTATTTTTAATTCGCACTATTCGCACGGCCGTCGAATTAAATATTGAAAAATCGTTGACAGAAATTGATGAGCGTACGCTTCGCAATATAGTTTTTATAATTGTTCGGTTTCTTCGAGAAAAACACAGTTGATCTCAGGTAAAAAAAACAAAAAAAATTAACGTTAAAAAAAAAATAGTGCCTAATATACAATTATTCCGAATGACAAACGTAATTTTATTTACATTATTATGGTCGTCTCCGGGTTACACGGCATAACGACGTTAGGAAATATAGTCTATGTATACATTTGTTTATATAATAATACATACTAAATTAAATTATATTACAATTACAAGACACCGAGGAAACGGTTGGTGACGAACGTTGACAAATCGCTAAAATTCTACAGTAATAAAATCTGTCTGTATAATGCACGAGACTAGAAACTTAATCGCCCGCATTGGCTTTGTTGGGGTTATATTTTAAATTTAAAACATTGAATTTTGATAATTTAAAGTGTACAAACTTTCTAACGGCTTTGTTGCTCAAGTCGAGCTAGTAAAAAAAAAAATGTTACGTCTATTATATTTCACACCTGTAATTCGTTATTGATTTTAGAAACAAATATTTATTTTATTTTTACCAGACCAATACATCAATGATTGTCATCACGGTAATCCCGTAATTTTTTTAAAAGAAAATCATAATTATTATGTTAACCGTGTCAAAAAATTATCTTATTAAGTAAAACAATAAAATTAGACTTAAATAATTGGTAGTTAAACTTATAAATAATTTTTGTTTGATTTATGTTTGTGCGTGAACAGTTAAAAAGTACAAACCTTAAACAAAATCACTTTTTATGTATTAGAAATTTAAAGGAATCTTTTTAAACTGTATTTTAACTAATAATTTACCAATCATGAGTATTTTCAATCATAACATTAATCAGTAAAACCATTTAACTAACATTATATCTTAACTGTTCTAGGGCGTAGCTTTTCTCTGCTTGACTGGGCTAAATTACCTTCATTACAGGGCTTTCTTTAGTCTCGCAATCGCTTTAAGAAAATATAATAAATCTAATAAGATCTATTACCGAATCGTCCCCGAATGATGATTGCTACATTCATAAGAACGCCGACTAAAAGATAGTTTTTTTAACTTTAATTTTTTTTTTTTATTATGGAATACTTTGAACTAATAACCATCTGTTTTATGAATTTCTTATTATTTTCTATTTTGTACTGTTTTTAAATGGAAAAATTAATATAAATGGAAATGTTAGCGATTGCGAAAGCAGTTTAAACTTTAACAAATAGCTATTATAATAGATTTATTATTTTGTCCAATATGAAATAAAATAATGACAAACTATAAGTAATGAGTAAAGGGTACCACGGGCCAAAAAGGGGTCATAACAACACTCCGAAATGTCTGTCACTCACAAAAAACAAAATCCTACTCATTTCTAATTTTTAAAAACGTTCAATAATAATTGAATATACACACTTACGTAAGCTAAGTAATTAAACTGCATTCTTAAAGTATATATATTTTCAATGGAATTACAATAATTTATCTGGTTGCCTACAGTAATTTAATACAAGTAGTTATTTTTCAAAAAAATCAAGCGAAAAAAAATATAATAACATATTAGTCTGCAAAAAACTCGTACAGCAATTGAAGACCTTGGAGCAACAACAAGACATGCCCTTTTTTCATTTTTTTTTTCATAACGTTTGGATTTAAAAACATTTTGGAAAAAAAATTTTTTTAAAAAGGACATGTCTTGTTGTTGCCCCAAGGTCTTTAATTATTGTTATCTGCGCCCATACAAGTTAGGACCGGAGGAGAAGATCCTTCAGTCCTAACTTGTATGACTTTAAAAATAGTTCTTCAAAACTGGTTATCACTTATCAACCAGTTAACATTTTTAGTAAAATATTCTTAACTTAAAAAATTAATAAATAAATAATAAATACGTTACAATTTAAATTTCAAAAGTTGATATTAAAATAATTAGTTTGGGGGGGGGGGGGGGGTAAAAACAAACAAAATTGTGAAAAAATGAGATCACACTGTATAAAAACACTATGAAAACAAAAATGAATTTCTTATTAAACCCTATTAAGTGGTTCACAATAAAATTATCACCTTGTATATAATATACTAAATTGGCAAATTATATAATATATATTATGTGTACAAATATACATGAAATTAGGATATTCATTAAATAAACGGTCCAAAAAAAAAAAAAAATTATAAATCGACATCAAACCAAAAATAAGCCTTACCAATAATTATAGACCAGCAAAAAAAAAGGAATTTTTATATACATTTTAAAAATTATTTATATGTTTGACCTACAAGAACATATTGCTTAAGAACGACTATTTTCCATAAGAACAATAACGGCTTAATATAATAGAGAATATTTAATAACCCTTAACCATAAAATAACACAATCTCCGCGGAAAGTGTATTATTTCATGGTTAAAATTTTTTTAATATTCTTTATAATATATATCCGTAAGTTGCTCAAGTTTTTTCTAGCTTATTATATTATATATGTATATATTTTTTAGAGAGATTTTTAATGAATATTAGCGTGGTTGGGTTTATCCTGCCTCGGAGCGGTGTTACTAAAAATCTCAACTATTAGTTATAATTTAACAATAGAAATTACGTCAATAAATAGTGATATTTAAAAAGGAGAAAGAAAACTCACCAACTAGACTTATGGCAATTATCATTAACTTATTTATATGGTTGGAGTGAGAATTCAAAGATTTCATCGTTCTTATTTAAGGATTTTTCATACAAAAGTTAGTCGGTCGGGTAGGCGTATACGGAATGATTTGATCTGGTATTATAATTATTAGGTTTTAAAACTAATTATTCCGAGAACTCTTAAGGTTATCGTTCTACCTTGAGTCAATTTTTGTGGAAAACGATTTCAAGTTGTTGTATTTTAAATAATTTTTTTTGAAAATAGTAAAACTATTAATCAAAAAACAGAAAATTAAATGTCTTTGGACTCATACATATAACATGTGCACACCTAATATTATTATGTTAAAAGAAATACCATTAAGGAAATTATTGTTCAAGGTTCCGATAATCTTGTAAAAAAAAAAAAAATAAGGAGACCACATAGTCTGTGTTTTGATTTTCTTTCTGAAGTTATTATAGTAGCAGTTAGACAAGTATATAGTTAAACAAATTAATTGTTTGGAATAAATAATATTTTTCTCTCACGAACGTCGTCGTAGTTGGACGACAAATAAATATAATTTATATGTTCGAGTTTTATATTTTTATAATTCGAGTGTTTGGATAGTAACATGACGGTGTTCGGACGAGGATCCATTCGAAATGATTTTCCAACCAATTGACCACAGTGCACGACCGTTGCATAATTATTATCAATATTGATTTATTAAAAAAAAAATATCTTAACTATGGGAATACTCCGAATCTCGAATAACAACAAAAATCAATCATATATAATAGATTTATTTAAGTTGTTATTGATTTTGAATACACCGACGTAACTATTTAATTTAGTAAGCACATATTGCAAAAAAAAAAACAATTGTTCAAATCTTTTCCTCGACGGAAAGGCGTAGGTCCATATGAACATGTCTTGGTTTCCTGTATGTTATCAATCCATTTGTTTAAATTTAATCTTAGCCGTTTCCATTCGTGGTAAATTTTACATAGAAATTAGCATTTTGCAAATTTTCGGCGTTTTACCGCAGCAACTAAAAATATTCAACTGGGAGCTTTTGCCTGTACAAAACACCACAACACTTGTACAAAATAGATGTTCCTAGTTCTAGAGAACAATAGTTTTGTGTTTTTATAAAATAACCGTTTCGAGTCAAATGTCTTGCTTGGGCTTTTGTAACGTTTTGGCCGTCTAGAAATGCCGTCTGATTTGTAAGTACCCTAAACACATTAGACAAACAGGTTGATTTTATACACTGAACAACGACATCTCTTTTGTCAAATGTTTCAGGACGTTTATAATTGAAAAACTGTGTTATATTAGTGTAATATAGTAGCTATCCGTAACACTATTGTCTCGTTTGTCCAACTTAGCCGTATTAGCGAAACGTCCTCCGAAATGCAGCTATTCAACATATGGGTGCTATTTTATAATAGTACATGCACATCTATAACGTGCACGGTATAGGTTTCCTGTAAACCTTTTCTCGAATGTTGACTGTGGATTACATTCATGTGCATTGTTCTCTATATTATAACAGTATAACCGGTTAGATAGAGTACCGGAAAAACGCAACACATTAATTTGAAGGCGTATTTTACCTGTCAATAATTTTATTAGGATTTTATCGTCGTACAATAATATTATGTAATGTTGTTAAAATATTAAAAACATTCTAAACGATTCGCCAAACTTATTCGGCATGTAAACGGTTATTATCATAATTAGTGTACTCGTCTAGTTTTACTTGTGTTACAATAATAATTGGCACGAACCACCACGATGACCGACACAGGTAATGATATATTATTTTTAACACATAAATTGCAACTCATTGGGTTGTGTCCGCGACGAGTAGGTAGATAAGAAAACGAGATAAGAGATTGTAAGCTTTATCGAAAGAAACATTTTTTTGTTAAAGTAGTTAGATTAGGTGGGAGTGGGCAAGTGCACTGTTAATAATCATAATGGTAAACCGGTCGCTGCAGTTAGTACTTGCAGTGCGCCTTTTTTTTTTACTTTTACCACACAAATTGGGACTTTTTAAACATTTTTTTTTTTTGTGAAAGAGGTGAACTACTTCCACGTATGGTTGGAAAATTGTTTAAATAAAGTAATATCGAAAAACCAAACAAAAAACACTTTCACTCCAAACGGAGTGGAAACTTTTTAGTTATTTCTCTTTTTCTAGCGTTCAACTAAATCTATCGTAGGACCCCACCGACCCTCATCCTCTCTTTCATATTGTATAGTTGGTTGTGCCAATGATTTGTACGAAATAAATAAATATTAAGAATAAAAACGCGCCAACACGTCATATTCTCTCATAATAAATATCATGAAAAATATTTTTATTTAGAACACCTTAATATTTAACAAAATCCTAAAATAATTATTAGTTAAAGTTAATTGAAATAAT